ATAAACTGGCAAGAGTTGCTCACTCAGATAGGGTAACTCTTGTCTTGACTTGGTCTGCGGGTTGCCAACGTACTAGCAGGTGGGGACATTCTATCGCTACTTTTTGCTTGTAATGTGGTTCCTTTCGAGAGGGAAAGTTTTATATAAACGCTGCATAAAATGCATATTTGTTTCTTGGTTTAGGTCAAATGTGTATTCTGAGGAAAGTGTTTTGTTTTATGATATTTGTTAGCGACTGCTTGAGTTTTTTTTCAGTGAGTTCCGGGCACCGTATGTCACTACACCAACGAGTGTTCGGGAGTATTTATTTATTGTTTAGATGTCAAGTAATCTTCTGAAATTAGACATGTAAAATTTATTCATAGAAATAATGAATGAATTTAACATAATTTATTTCATTACAAGAAATGATAAATTATGAAAATAAAATGACAAATTTGTTAAAGCGCTTGGATAATCTGGCATCATTTCATTGAACATGAGTCGAATGATTCTGGAAAGACATCCTCATGCTTACACTCTGTAACACCTTTCGTAACTCTTAAGGTTTTACACATTTAAAGGCAAACACCGGTCAGAAATAAACGCGGGTATTACTATTATTTACAGATAATTTTATGAATTATTAAATGACCCAAAAGAAACAATAACTTTCCAGTGGCGAACCCTGCCACAATCTCCAGACTGTCACGGGTTCATGATTTGTGTTATTCAAACGTTTTTATTTCCCTACTTTTCCCATCGTAGGGGAAACTGCAAAATCGGCGGCGTTTCGAATTGCTTTTCGTTCGCTGGCAGACGATCACGAACGGAATGCAGTGATAATTCACGGAAATCAAGGGAAAGCGATATAAAACGAACGCGTTGAGGGTGCGCCGCTAACCTGGGGAACTCTACCCTCCCCGCGCGCAGTTGCCAACGCCATATTTTAGAAAGTTCGTGAAAAATGGACACACCGTGACAGTATAAAAGGAGAAACTCCCCATAAAACAGATAACCAATTTAGAAATAACGGTATGGAACGGATGGCGGGAGCGACGAGCGAGGTATTTCACCGAGAAATGGAACGGAGAAAAATTTACTCTTCCTACCCACCCCCATCCTTCCCCCTTTCCCCTCTCCACTTTGCCAAGACGCACCGACGCACGCACAAAATTCCTGCTCTCTCGTGTTCATTTGTTTCTTTACCAAAAGCGGCATGCACGACCTGAACTTCTCTCTATCGGGTGTTGTCACTAACAGCCCCCCTCCCCCTCCTCTTCCCCGACCTTCTGCGGGAGATATATATCGCTAATTAGAGGTGTGCTTGGGTCTCACGTCTGTACCTTAAGGTGAGCACCTTGTGTTTACATAGTACGTTCAGCTCTATTGTAACTTTATTCTGATACGGCACTTACGAAAGAAAAGGACCCATCAGCCAATCACGGGCCGAGAATCTGGCCAGCTGACCAATCCCAGCCCTATATGCAGCCCTTGATAATCCTCTTACGGGATGACGACAGCTCGTGACCTTTACCATTATGATTTTATTCTTGAGGTCTGACATGGTATGCATGATATTTATTTCTTTTTGATAATAAACGTGACGATGCATTCTCTATTCCTTTTCAAGTATTCCTAAAATAGTGACATCGCTGAAATAATGAAAATATAAACTAAGGTACATACAGCATTGCTATTACATTGCATGTATGCTGAAAATTCTTCCAATAATTATTTGTTCGTACTTTCCTTTAAGGTAGCAAGGATACCTATACTAGTGCCAACGGGACCTGCATTGCGGTCATAGTTTCATCCTACAAGGCTGACGCGGGAAGTGATCTTGATCTGTGATTTACTTTCTCGTTTGGTGAAGCACCAAATACAATGGTGTATATATATATATATATATATATATATATATATATATATATATATATATATATATATATATATATACATATATATATATATATATATATATATATATATATATATATATATATATATATATATATATATATATATATATATATATACTTACTGTTTGTAAGTACTTATGTACATAACTGTCCATTAAAAAATAAAGACCTAGGCCTGCACGTATACAGATATTTACATGACTGTATATCTCTCATATCTAATTCAACGTATGGGGAAAATTGCAACGCCCCCTTTTACATAATAGAACATAATAGTGTCATAATTGTCACATGCCTTCATGAAGACGAAACCGGAATCGACAAAACTGACTGATTGATGTATAGCAATTTATCTTGTCATCCTGCGACTTTTCCTCTATTTATGTCTTTCTGTTTGTCCACCTATATCTAAATTCTCTTTGCTCTCGGTTTAAACTTATCAAAAAAACTGATGCACTGGAAACAAAACCTGAACCTCTTTCGCAATCATAGCAAGAAATCAACATGCAATACTAAAGGGAAAATAAACAATAAAAATTGCTTTTCGTTATTTGAAGTAAAAGTGATCGATATATATATATATTTTTTTTATATTTAAATCTTATAAAGCAACCGAAGAAAACAGACAGTGAGGTCAAAAGGTGAAATCACAAACATGCAAAAAGGTGTTTACCCTAAAATTTTCCCGCCAAAGGTTTCAAGGACGAAGCCAAAGGGCAACACTTGGACGCCATATATGTTAACTTACGGTCATCTTACATTTTAATTTCATTTTCTATTTGCATGTAAATTATCGACGTTGTAGATGTTTATGGTGAGGCTAGATAAGATGGCCAAGCGTTAACCTCCGTTCGTGGTTTTTTTCGTCTAATCTAATCTCAAATATGGAAGCCAAATCCCGAAAGGAGTTGAAGAAAAAAAACATTTTAACAATTAAACAAAACATGCTGTGTATCCCATCCTGTATATTCTCTTCATTTTCCATTTTTTAAACATAAGCATATGGTTTCTGGATGTTTACCAACCGTCTCTCAGCTCAACATACTCTCACCTAAGCTACGTATTTAGCCGATGAGTCAATAGAGTATGTGCTCTCAAAGATAGCTCTCTCTCACCATGTCTCCACAAAACTGTAAACTAATGATGACTGGCTCTCCCATCGTCTACTTATATACGATGCTGTTCATCATTGTTACAATCGTCAGTAGCAGAACTGCTGTTATTGATGATATTATTATTATCGGTAGTTGCGCTTAGTTTCGATTATCTGTGATGTGTATTTTTGCATTATTTTAAACAAACTATTTTAGAAAAACCTGCTATTCTAGTAGTTTGAGCAATCAGGTGCGTGTGCGAGTTTTTAGCGATTGCACGCGGCACCACACCATATCACCTGAGATGTGTCAGGTGCCGTGACACCTTGTGTCAAGTGCGTGATGTCGTGGAGGAGTGAGGGATGGGGGTAGGGGGGAAGGGTCTCATTCACAGCAAAGTTCTACCAATATTCTTGTTTGCCATTATTGATGTTATCACTTATAATTTTAGCGATTATCATTGCTATTTTCATTATTGGTGGTATTGTTGACATCTCCATCTTGCCATCATCATCAGTAGCATCGACACTAGTCGCAACACCGTCGCCATCATCACCATCATCATCATCATCATCATCACCATCATCATAACCATTACTATCATTACCATCATAGCCATCACTGTCATCAACACCGTTATCATAGCATTCCCTCTGAACCACAGTTTTGGTCCACAGGACTGACGTAATGCCGAATCCCTTTCATTGTATAGACTACACGTTTTCTATGACCTGACACATTTGGAGTGTCTCTCTTTCTCTCTCTCTCTCTCTCTCTCTCTCTCTCTCTCTCTCTCTCTCTCTCTCTCTCTCTCTCTCTCTCTCTCTCTCTCTCTCTCTCTCTCTCTCTTTCCTCTATCACACACTTTTCATAAGTAGGTCAAACCTATGATTAAATGATGCACGGACTAGTCCTCTGTATATATTAATAGACCTATTCAGCCTCTCGGATAACTGTCTTAAGTCACCATTATGTCAATTTGCAAAAGCAACAATCTTATGCATCTTTGTCATGGCATATAATTTGTTCTTAAAAATACTAAACTTAAGTATTTATCATTATGAATCATTGCAGTGAACAAATCCCTTTGCCTGCCATGGAGCGAATTTTTGGCGTTTTTTCCTTGTAGGAATTGTTCTTACGAATTTCCTTTTACAGAGGCCCCGTTATTATTGCCGCCGGGCTTTTCCTCCTTAAGAAATCAGGCATTTTCCTATAGAATTTTTTACTATTAAGGTCTGCTATATACATGTACACACACACACATGTGTGTGTATGTTTGTATATATAAACGTGTATATATATATATATATATATATATATATATATATATATATATATATATATATATATATATATACATACATACATACATATACACACACACATATATATATATATATATATATATATATATATATATATATATATATATATATATATATATATATATATATATATGAATGTGTTTGTGTTAATAAATACATGCATATTCCGTATATGTACAGTTCGAGTATATTCTTTTAACTTGATATCTAATGCTGTGCTATGAGTGTCTATTTCCTTCTTTTGATTCTGGTATTCTATGTTTTATTATTATGCGATAACCCTTTTCGTCCTTTCCCAGTTCTGGATGCCCTTTTTAGGTCTCTTCCAGTGTTATTACCACGGCCTATCCAGGTACAGTTTTGACTGATCCCTATTATTATTAATCTCATTGTCATTATTATTATCATAATTATTATTGGTATTATTACTGGTATTATATATCATCGGCATTGATGCTATTGTTATTGTTATTATTAGTAGTAGTATCCTTATTGTTATTATCGTTATCAATATCAATAGTATTATTATTGCTATCATCATTATTATCACTATTATTATTATTATTATTATTGATCTTATTACCATTATTATATTACCGTTATTATTATTATTGTTATTAGTAGTATTATCAATATTGTTTTCATTATTAGTATTATCATTATCATTATCATTATTG